CAGCTGGTCACATTGTAGCCACAGTCAGGCAGCTGGTCACATTGTAGTCACAGTCAGGCAGTTGGTCACACTGTAGTCACAGTCAGGCAGTTGGTCGCATTGTAGTCACAGCCAGGCAGCTGGTCACATTGTAGTCACAGTCAGGCAGCTGGTCACATTGTAGTCACAGTCAGGCAGCTGGTCACATTGTAGTCACAGCCAGGCAGCTGGTCACACTGTAGTCACAGTCAGGCAGCTGGTCACACTGTAGTCACAGTCAGACAGCTGGTCACTTTGCAGTTGTCACAGTCAGGAAGCAACGAGAGATGAACCCTCATCCTCAGCTCACTTCTTTGTATTCAGTCCAGGCCTCCAGCTGATGGAATAGTGCCACCCACATTTAGGGTGGCTTTTCTCATCTCACCCCAAGCTAGAAACTCATTCACAGACAATTCCAGACATCTGTCTCCTAGGTAAAACCAGATCTTATCGAGTCGACAGTATTAATTGTCACACTCTGCTCAGAAGGAAATGGTAACATAAACATGTGTTAGTGGTCCCCCAGAAACCCTGCACTCAAGGTGGGTATCCCAAGACTGCTCATAGGGATTCTTGTTCTAATGTGGTTCTTAAGGGGAAATGGTTGCAATCAAGCCACCTCAGGACTCTAAATACAGCCTCAAATGCTTACCTTCTTTGCTGATGCTTTGACTCAAACTTCAAAGCTGAACAAACTCATTGTCAGAGAGTCTCAGAATTCCCAAATTTGTCCATGACTGAATTATTACTGAATTTTTGTAATGCTTTTTTGGGGTCATATTTTACCATTTGTGAAATGAATGTATAGTAAATCCCCACTTTGTCTCTTAGGCATCCCTTAGTCTTACACATTTTGCTTTCTGTATTAGTCAGTATTCTCTAGAGTAAAAGAACTTACAAATGAATCTCTTTACATATATAGAATGGAAATTTATTAGAATTACTGATACAAAAACCAGCATGTAGGGAAGACCAGAGAACGGATCTGTGTGGACTGGGGACAGGAGTAGGGAGATGTTCATTTAATATCATTAGTCATGACTCACGCACTTAGCAGTTTACAAATGTGTTTAATAGTCCTGGCTACAAATAAAAATTAGAATCAACTGGGAAATTTTAAAATAGCCAGTTCTTTAGGCCTCCCCCAAAAGATTCTGATTCAGTGGATATGGAGCAAGAGCTGAGAACCTGATTTTTATTTGTTTTGTTTTTGTTGTGTCCTTCATTGGACCCAGGGCATCTCACATGCGAGGAAAGTCAACTATTCTTGGTTGTCAACTTGACTACATCTAGAATTAATTAAAACACCGAAAGTAAGGGCACACCTATAAGGGAGTTTTGCTTAATTTGAAGTAGCAAGATCTACTTCTGATCGATGAAGCAGGAAAACACACCTTTAATAGTGATCTTGAGGTGGGAAGACCAACTTCAAATCTGGGCCACATAAGGACATGGAGGAAGGAAGCTTTTGCTCTTTGCCTGCTTGCCCTTACCTGGCTAGCAAGTCCATCCCTTCACTGACATTAGGGTCTACTTCTTTGGGATTCCAGCATATACACTCCAGACCACCTGAGACATCCAGCCTCGTGGACTGAGAAACTGCTGGATGCTTGGACTTTCCGCTGATAGCCAGCCATTGTTGACTTAGTTGGCTGGAAATCCATAAGTCATTCTAACAAATCCCCTTTCTCTATATGTAGAGATTTTCACCCTATTAGTTCTGTTCCACTAGAGAGCCCTGACTAATACAGAAAGTAATGGGAACCCCAGCTCGCTTTTCATAGTTTTCTTTTTAAGATAGGCTTTTAGTAAGTTGCCCATGCTGGACTTGACTCATTTGTGGTTCTAGCAGGTCTTTATCTTCTGATTCTGTTGCTGGAATTACTGGTCTTTACCCACTGTCCCCAGCAGCAGGATGTTTGTCAAAGACCATAAGTGATTCTAGTATGTGGCTGATACTAAGAGCCGCTGTCAGAAACAGCGTTGGTGATGCAAAGGAAGTAAACAAAACAGCTTCATTCATATTCAGTGGTTCTTAGCTATGACCAGGAGCTGGGTCCAGTTTTGTACTCTGTAAGTACTTGGCAGCTGACGTCAGTGGGATTCAGCCCACCACTAAGGTTTAAGTCAAAGGAACTCCTGGAAAGATGCCAAGAATCTCTGAATTTTAGGTTGTAAGTCCCCTGTCTCCTTATTTTTCTTGTTTAGTACTTTGGAAACACTGGTCAGTCAGTTGTAGCTTGTTTTTCGGAGGTGCACTACCCAGCTCCCAAATAAACACACACAGAGACTTAACTCTTACTTATGAAGGCCCGATCTTAGTTTGGCTTGTTTCTAGCTGACCTTTTGAATTTAAATTATCCCATTTTTCTTTAACTGTGTTTTGCTTCTGAGCTTTTTACCTTCTTTATTATATATATCTTTTCTTGCTTATTCCTCTGAAGCTAGCTGTGGGGCTGTGGGATTGGCCCTTCGCATCCTCCTCGCCTCTTTTTCTTGCTTCTCTCTCCTCTCTCAAGCCTAGATTTCTCCTCCCAATTATTCTCTCTGCATAACAGCCCCACCAATTATCCCTCTCCTGCCTAGCTATTGTCAGCTCTGCTCTTTATTAGATCAATCAGGTGTTTTAGCCGGCAAAGTAACACAGCTTTACAGAGTTAAACAAATGCAATGTAAAAGAACGTAACACATACTTGCATCATGAAATAAATATTCCACAGCATAAATACTCACATCTAATAAATGTTTAACACATCTTAAAGTAATGTTCCACAACAGGCAGCTATGTCTCCCACCCTGTTTCCCGCCCACTGAACGCATAGGCTGGATTAGATACACTAAGGAGTTCATCTATGATTCTGAGTTTTCCTGACCCAGAACCCACAGTTACATTCATCTTCCCTGAACACTACAATTTTGGACGCTGCCCTGGGAATCTGAGTCATGAGACTCAGATCTGTCTCTGCTCCGGGTAGATGCCAGCCTGGGATGGGTGGAGCTGGAGCTCCATCCTGGGCTATGCCTTCTCCTTATGCGATGCAGTTAAAGGCTACCCACTTTGCTTGCAGCATCAACACCCAAATGCTCTCTGGCTTCCTGGTGAGCCCACGGCCGGCCCCTCACTGGTATCTGCACAGGATGTTGTGGAAAGCGGACGTTTACCCAGCGTCCCATGAGCCTGTGGAGTCCAGGCAGCACTCGCTGAGGCTCTCAGCTCTTTGCCCTCCTCCCTTGTGAGTCTCCAGCTGCCTCCTGAATCCTGTTCCCCTGAGCAGAGCTTAAGGAAGTTCATCCAACAACCAAGTTGGTTTATTGCTTACATCCCATGTTGCAGACTCTGTACCAGGAATGCCACCACACTTGGTCTCCCCCAGCCTGCCCCAGCCCACCGAAATGTCTACCAGGAGGAGACTGTTACAGACAAAGCCTGGCACAAATTGCCCCGCCCAGTCTGTAAACTTTCAAAGAAAGCACCACATCTGCCTTTTACTTAAGACAAATATACACCTATGCCTACCATGCTCGGTACCATGAAGGAGAGGAAGCCTTGCTGGCCAGAGGGCAGGGCAAGGGTGCTTTAAGCATGCCACACAAGAGGGAGCAAGGGAAAGTGGGGGTTTGTCTGGAGAAGAGTAGGATTTACTATAATCCTGTACTGAGCACAGGCAGGGATGCCTAGACCTGACCCAATAACTGACCTGTGAGTCCTTGCTTCCTCTCTCACTGGCCCCGTTCTTCTGAAGTGGAACTGCTGCTCCATTGTCTCAGCACAAGGAGGAAAGGCATTGCTGGACTAGGAGAGAGTAGGGTCCAAATGCAACATTTCTACCCATCCTGATTGCAGGCTGCCAAACTCAAACTCTTATGCTGCGGGGGTTGAAGCAGACTCCAGGGACCCCTGATTGTATATTCAGAAGAATATCCCCTATGGAGTTGTGACGCTGCTCACTTTCATGCTCCACTCTGTCAGCACACGAAGAAATCACGTGAGGGCGTGTGAGAGGATTTGCCAGCAACTTTGGGCACTCATCGATTCAGGTCAGATGTCCTGCTCCTAGTACCACGCCTGTGACTTTACAGTTGACAAAGGAGTGTGGTGTCTGAGAAGTTAAATGTTGTACTGCTCCTCTTACTGCATTTGTGCGTGCGCACCTGTGTGTGTGTGTGTGTGTGCCTGTGTGTGTGTGTGTGTGTGTGTGTGTGTGTGTGTGTGTGTGCATGTACACGCACATGTGGAGGTCGGAAGATAATTTTGGGGAATTGGGCCTCTCCTTCCAGCACATATAGGTCCCAGGGATCTCTCGAGCAGGTCAGGTCTATAAGCAGATGCTTTTACCCACTGAGGCCCTCGTACATCCTTAACTGCTCTTAGTAATGCCCTCCCACCCTCTTCTGTAAGCATGTCTCTAAGATGATGCTCTCTGCGCTCCACACACTCCCTCCATCAGTACCATCTTCAGGGCATTGGGGGAGGTACAGTAGAACTCTCCTGTCTGTACATTTTACATTTTGAACAATAAACCGTGGCCAAGGCAGGCAGCACTAGCCATAGTTAAGAAAACAATAGTGACAGGAGTCCCTCTAAAGAGTAAATTCAGTTTCATTTTGGTGAAGTAAAATCATCATCATCATATTCCTGACTATTATCTATACAAGTCCACACTCCTAAGGTCACCCCCCCCCATAGTTGGATCCCTTTGTTTTTAGGCTTTCCAGACATAGTTTGGGCCCCGGAGGGTAACCCAGCATAAGCCCCGCTTACACAACCATGTGCCGTGAGACTCGCCTGATGTGTCCTTTCCTAATTCATTTTTCTTTGTTGTTGTTATTATTATACTTAGTTATTTAATGTGTGTGGGTGTTCTGCTTGCCTGTATGTATATGTACCATGTACATGCCTGGTGCCCTCAGAGGCCAGAAGAGGGGAACAGATCCCTGGAACTGGAGTTACAGACGGTCGTGACTGTGTGGATGCTGGGTCCTCTGGAAGAGCAGCCGGTGCTCTTAGCCACTGAGCCAACTCTCCAGCTCCCTCTTATTAATTCTTATAAAAGTGTCTGGTAGATTGTCAAAATACTTGTTCAATTATTGTTTTCCTTTTTCTTTATTTGAATAAAAATTCCCACCAATTTTGTTTTCATAAATACACCTACGTTGTTTTGATTCTGGTACCAACAGTCCAGCCTCCCCAAAGAGTCCTCACTGGGTTAGCACTCGAGAGCGAACCATCAAGTTCTGCGCATGTCTTAGAAATGACGAGCATCGTCTGACCAGGCAAGTCCAACCACATGGAAAACAAAGTCCTGAGGCCTTGGCCTACTGCTGGGCTGGGCTCCTGGGATGCCACACACCTTCAATGTCTCCTTTGGACCTAGTCACGCACTGGAAGATTCCAATTCACTCTTCCCACAGTGGAATAACAGTCCCTTGAGTACAGCACATGGTCACAGGTGTCCTGGTGTGTTCCCGCTCACCCCCGTCTTCTGTTTATTGGCTGAGGACTATAGCACTTTTCCTCAGATACCCTGTCCAGCTTTGGAGGTGATCCTGCTTTCCAGTCATCAGAAGCAGGAGAAAGAGAGTGGCGTTGACCACCCCTGCCACACACCTCGGAGCCTCAAGCCTTGGTCTCCGTCTCAGGCTTCTTCATTGACTTTACAAACTCCTTGACTTCTTCTTCCAAGACCTTATTCCTCTTCTCGACGTCCTCCCGGGAGCGCTCCACATTTCGAAGGCTGATTTCCAGGGCCGCAAACTTCTTCCTCTCCCTCTCCAGCTCTTCGTTGAGCCTCACCACCTTAGCCCAGACATCGTAGTTTTCCTTCTCTAGGCTGCAAGGAAGAAGACCAGAGTATTAGCTCTAAACCCTTCCTTCCCAGCCCTTCACCCACATTCACAACCTCTTGTTCATTCGTCTCTCTGAGATACGACATGCCAACTGGTGAATGCCACTCCAGGCATTGCTGTGGATGTATGTCCTTCCACCCAACAGAAGACTTCACAGGAAACCTGAATTCTCTAGGCACTTCAGGGCCTTACTTAACCCTGGTGACATCTCTTGTGTTACTGTGTTTCATGTCACTTTATGGATTGTGCCCTGTGTTTAAACAGACAAAACATTTGAAAGAAGGACCATGTGTAATAGAGCTGGGTGCCCACCTTGAAGCTGTGTGTGACTAGTTAGCCAAAGCTATAAATGCTCAATATTCTAGATCTGCAGCATCTCTGCCGCCTCTTCACCATGCTCCAGTGGGCAGCCTGGCCAGAGCCCTTCCTAGCTAAGACCCCCGCTCTGGGATCAAGATTTGGGAAAGCAAAGGGAAATACATTTTGGGGACCATGGGTTCTGGGGTCCCACAGGAATTCTAAATCCTGCCCTGGGGGTGGGGGATAAACTATAGGCTTCCTGAATTCCCATGGCATGCATTGCTACTGGCTCAAATTCTAACACAGCCCAGGTGCCCTGCCAAGCTATGCAGAACTAAACCTTAAGAACAAGTGAACATGGTTCATTATTTAAGCCTAAGGAGGAAATTTCTGGTCTGTGGGTGAACTTTAGATTGTGTGATTGGAAATTTGCTTCTGAGTTTCCTCCTCTGGGTGCTGCCTCACTCCTCCCAAGCTCATCCCACGAGTGCCATTCCCTGTCTTCCCTAAGCAGGCCTGCCTGTGCTCACCTGCAGACACAAGCGGCCATCGGAGGCCATGCCTCGGGTTCTGTATTCAAGAGCCAACGTGGCTGGTTCTATGTGGACCACTCCCCACAGAGTCTTGTCTGCCCGTTTGTCTTTCTCTTCCTACAGCAATCTTTCTCACTCCTTTAGACCCTCCCGTTACAACATTCAGTCCTCTTTCCCAGCTTCCCATCCCCTTCTGGCCTGAAGAGAACACACGGGAGATGCTGTGCTGGATCTTGACCACTGACTGCAGAGCAGAAACAACAAGGACTTAAGAGCCAGCCTGACCTGGGGTCAAGGTTCAAGCCCGGCCCCACAACAATCAGCTGTATGGCCTTCAAGAATGCTTTGAAACTTCTGGGGCTCCTGATTCTTCTGACAAATGGGGTGCTTCTCATGCAATTCAACCAGGAGGCACTGCCAAGCCGCTAATTCTCCTGCCTCTGCCATGGCTGGGCTAACAGATGCCTCAGAGACTTCTGTATTTGGGAGGAGCAGATATTTCTATGGTCGTCAGTCTTTTTCCTGCTCTTCAGTGGCATTTGGGCTAGGGCCACAATGAGAGCCTTTTCTGGGGCTGATTTGCTACCACATAAGGTATCACAGAAGTCTACAAACGGTTGATTTTAAGTTATCAGACAAAGGACATATGTTTTGTTTGAAAGCCGTCCCTCCATATAGAGCAATGGATAGAGACTCACAATAGTCTTTCTTCCTGGTACCTAAATATTAATAAAGAAGTATCCATAAATATGGAAGTCCACTATTGTCATTATGACAAGTATTTTTGTGGGTCAAGTAGGACTAAAGTTACCTCTCTGAGAAAGAATTTGCTAAGGGAGAAGAATGGGGAAAGAACCACAATGACCAGCATGGTCTAACCCTACGGGAGCAATAGTGGCACACACATTGGTATAACCAGTAGCTAATATCCTTAAAGTCTATTCAATAAGAGGGAAACCATACCGGGTTCCCAGACCCAGCCTACTACTCAGGACTAGCAAAGTTGCGGACCTTGGAGTAGAACCCATAGCCATCACTTAACCAAACTAGCATGATCCCTAACAGCCATCTAACATGCCCTTACACCCACAGGTAGGTGTAGTCTCTGCCACTCATCAAGGAAACTCCTCTTTGTGGATTACAGAATCCACAGCCAATCAAAATGCACTGGTTGTGGATTCTGCTTCCAATGGATCCATCTGTACGAGCCAAAAGAGCCAGAAGATCAGGAAGTCTGCTGAGAGGTTGTGTCTCCAACCACTTTGAAGCTAATTCCATAAAGCCTCACCAACATGACTGCCCAAACAAAGGCAAGCCAAAGTGAATGGGGAAAGGCTCACAGGCTTCAACCCTACACAAAGAACAACAGGCAGCTAAGGAAACCTGGGAGTGGAGAAATAGTCCTCCCCAGGGAAGAGCACAGCAATTGCTTTCCAATACTAGACAGTCAGCCCTGAACACATCCATTAAGACAGAGCATTGTGAAGGTCTCCCTCAACTCAGCTAAGCGTATTTACCCTTAAGGCTACTTGGGCTTCATTCTTAAGTTTCCAAGGATCTGTTCAGCAGGGCAGGACTTTCCCACCTAATCTCTCTCCGTGTGTCCTCTCCTTTGTTAGGTTTGGATGCTATAGGTTGTCCTGTCCCCTGAAATACTTTAAGGTGTAACATTTTAGAAGGTGGAGACAATATACACTTCTTCCTAAACACAGGAGCCAGGTGCGCTCCGCGGCCCTCTGCACAGGACTTACGTTTTGATCTGTTCCTCGTATGCGCGTTTCTGGGTCTCTATTTCCTTTTGTAGGTGCTGGACTGTCCTCTGCAAAGAGTCAAGGTCGTCCTCTCCAGAGTTCTTGCTTCCACACTCCATTTCAGAGTCTGTGCTGACTGGAGCATCTCTCTTGGGGTCACAGGCAGTGGGAGAGAGTGTGCCTGCTGGGCTCCCTGGGGACCCTAGTGGGGCTGGGACATTGTCATAGGTAGAAGTCCGCTGGTCATTGGAAAGGTGGCGCAAATCTTGAGACAAAGTTCTCCTGTGCCCTTCCCCTTTCTTGGCCTCTGAAGATGGAGACCAGAACTCGTTTTTAAAGATTTCCAGTTTGCTGCTAGTGGTTCCTTGGAATGCTGACGTCAGGAAACACTTCCGGTTGGGGAGCGTTTGAGTCCTTTTACGAGATTGCACCTTCCAGTCTCCCGGGTTTTCCTTGGGACCTTTCCCACTGTCCTCATGATTCTGGTCACCTGGCTGTGGTCCTGTGGGGCTGGTAACATCAGGACTACTTGCCTGGAAAAAAATAGTCATGGATATTATATAAGGTTTTTTTATTCCTTTCTGTGTGCCTTGTCCCCAAGATAAGGAAGTCCTGAGAAGTTCATCCTGATTTGCACCTGTGACACCCTTAGTGGGCCACCTCAGTGGTATGACAGTTCAGGGACCCGTTCAAACTCTAGAGAGGGAGTGTGAACTAACATCATTTGCTCAATCAGTGTGAACATCCTAAGCTAGGATCCTTTCATGAACTTAGGCGGTTTTGTCAGTTGTGACTCAAAGCCCAAGACCCCTAGTGAAGTTCAGTAAAGTCCACTGAGTGTGCTTCCACGATCTCCAAGATGAAGAAGAAAGCAAAGCAAACATGCTACCACCCACTAAGTGAGAAGCCAAACAGCAAGCTGGCAATGGCTCTGTCACATGTCACAGACAGTGAAGGGCAACCCCCCTGTGGTACTGGCTGAGAAGGAAAATATCAATGACCAAGAAGAAACGGACAAAGAACTTGAAGAAGAGCAAGTTTGTGCTGGAGAGGTTGCTCAGAGCTTAGAAGCACCTACTCTTGAAGAGGCCCCAGCTTCAGTTCCCAGCACCCACACAGCAGCTCATAACCACCTCTGACTCCAGTCCCCAGGGCTCTGATGCCCCCTTCTGGCCTCTGCAGGCTCCTGCTTGTGTGTAGTGCACAGGTACTCAGCAGGCTCATGTACACACATACAAAATAAATACATATTTAAAGAGCAAAAACCCAAAATAGTTCACAGAGGAGAAAAAGCAAACTGACCCTGACACTTTAAAAAAGATATTTAGCCTCTTTTTAAAATCAGTAGATCTCAGCCAGGTGACCAGTTAAAATGACTAAATTATCAGTTTTTTATGAGATGGAGTCACCCCCAAGCCTGATGGCACAACTCCGTGAAACATGGGTCTTTTCAGGCCTTGCTGTGAAAGCAAT